CTGAACCATTGTTGACACTTACCAACATTCAAAAAATTTCCGTAAACGTTCTTGATATTCTTTGTGGCTACAGAGGCATTGTTTCCCTTCTTTTATTCAAACAGCATTACATGCCAAATGTGTCTCATCGTGTGCCATCACTATAAGGGATTAGAATATAATAAACTTTACACATTATATAGGCTACACTAACGTGACATTTAGGCAGTTCGTTTAACTATTATACATGATGTACGTTTTCGGGAGGGGGGGGGGGTAATGAAAGTGTTTCAAAATGCGACATTAATTTCTTGATGACTTAATATTTTAAACCAAATGTTTACTTCAGTACAGAATGTGTAGTTACTGTATTTCTAATAATATGCCAACTTTTTTAAAGGCTTTTAAAAACTTTTATGATTATTTATTTTACAATTAAAGAAAAAAAATTCAAAACAGGAAGTAAATGTAGGGATGGTTAATATCAATCCTTCAAAAACAATGCAAACAAGATAGTAGGGGTGACATTTGTATCATCCCTACATAATAGCACAGGCAATAATTAACATATAGCAATATATATATATTCAACTATTCAACCAAAGTTGAGTTTCATTTATCCTATTTTTGTCTGTTAACATTCTCTAACAATGTGCGCCTGTGCTATTATGTAGGGATGATGCAAATGCCATCCCTACTGTCTTGTTTGCATTGTTTTTATAGATTGATATTAGCCATCCCTACATTTACATCCTTTTTTTTTGAAAAATTTTCCTTTACTTATTTTTTTAATGCAGTGTGTCAATAGACATAAGAAGGTTGAACTTATAACCAAGTTCTAAATACATTGAGGTTCCAACTGTAGTATTTTTAGTTTATCTATTATTGGTTGGTAATGCCTGTTTCACTCTGTACTTAAGTTTTTTAAAGGAACATAAAAATGAAAGCTAACTTTAAAGTGGTAATGATTGCATCTTTTATACTAGAATTATATTGTTTTTTTATTACTACTAGCTGTTAATAATACTTATAAAAGCGGATAATCCATTTGAAACTGTCACCTTGGTGAAATTGGTTGAGATATCATGTAATAAAAAAAATCAGAAGAAAGAACAATAAGAAATTCAAACTTTTTTTTAAATATTTATTTACATTTTCAGAACTTATGACTCGGTCATTACATGGATGTTGGTATAAAATGAAATACTGTATAGTATTGTAAAGTTCTGATGACCTATTGAGGAAATATTTAAACTACCATTTCAATGAACAGTTTAAGCCATCCTAACCTAGGCAGTGCTACCACCTGCGTGATTCAAGTCTCTATTACAAACCTTAACGTTCTAAATATTAAACAGAATTCTAACAGGATGCTTGCAAAATACTCTAACTATAATTATTATTAAAATTAATCCTGCTAATTTCCTTGCTTCTTTAACTCATCTTTTGAACTAGAAGTAATTCTAATACCCTTCTTTTTATCCTTTAGCATTTTATTTTGTTATAGATTTGCTAGATTTGTTATACAAACCAAGAATATGATTATTATTCTTAAAATGGAAAAATTCTTTTCAAAAATACCATCACCCAGAAACTTGTTAAAAGGCTATAAGCTCTTACACATGATTGTTCTATTTCAATCATCTTCTTTTCTTTTTTTTCTAGGACATTAAGATTACTAGTTATTGTAGATCTGACATGCTGTACCTCATGAATAATCTGTGTTCTATACCATGCATTAAGAAATCTGTAGTATCTTACATATTTCATATGTGAACACACTTTGAATAAAAGGTTAAGAGAAATGTTGAGGGTTTTTAAAAAAATAAATTGTTAGCTCACTTTTAAGATATATATTATCTATGTCCTTTATTTTATAAAACTTTATTAATATTTCTTTTTCCAGATCTTCTTTCCTCTCTATTGTACATCTGTTAAATTGGTATGCTTAACTTTACATGTATTTTAACAAAGATGCTTGAGTGTCTTGAAATTGGAAATAAAAGAATGGTTAAGGACTTTGAGATAAACAGTGTTAAGTAATTTTTTAGTGCAATTAACTGCATTTGGAAATCTAAAGTCTCCTTTGTAACTATATAGTGTTTTTGTATTGGTATACTGTACATATCAGTGTTTACTTTGTTTTCTTATGGAAAGATAAACAAATAAGATTACTTCATTCTCATCTCCTTTAACACTTCGTTATTCGTAGAAGAAAGTTGTATGACTATATTGAAATGTTTTTGTTTCACTTTTGACCTACATGCTTGTTACACAGTTTGCATGGTATGTTTTTATTGCAGCATTTGGAAGTATTGGAAGTATTCTGATGGGTGTCACAGGAATAACAACCTTAGCAGTATTGGCCTTATTTGTTAAAGAGTCCATGTATCTTCTTCAACACTGGCCTTTTCAGTACTGTTTTCTCACATTGCTGTGTTTGAATGCTTTTCCAGTGAGTTTATTATGTTAATAACAACACTATGAAACTTCCTTGCCTACTTGAAATAGTTTTATCATGGTTTTTCTAAATATTTAAATTCAACTCTTGAGTTATTTTTGTATATGTCTTGTTTATCATCATAGGGATCTGTAATCAGAAATGATGTATACATCATTTAGATGTTAGGATATCTGAGAGATAATAGAGTACAGGATTAAAATATATACATAGCTTATCTTACATCCAGCTTTAACGTTATCTAGACCAGTGAACATCTGTCACATGTTGAGTGCACTTACTTGCATATCAAACATTCAACATTTAAGTAAAAATAGTAATGCTGACTATTTTAACAGTTTTTTACTTTGAAATGTTTTATTATTGATATTTTATAAAAAATTTTAGTGTAATTTGCAAAGACAAAATTTAAAAAAGGTTCAAACTTAATTTCTCCATAGTTCTCAGGAGTTTCTTCTGTAAACAATATATGCTCTTTTTTCTTTTTTTTTTTTAGAATTTATCTGCCCATTCAAAACCTGAAGAGATTATCTATTTAGAATATTATTCTTAAGGTTTTATTTCTCGTATGATTTTTCTTCTCTTTCTCTGATTTTATTAGTACAGTTTCTCATTCACACCCTTCTATGACTTCACAGCACGTGATGTGAATAACTTGAATCTAAATGTTGAATATAAATATAGGCAAAGATTAAATACCATTGAAAATAGCAATAATAAACTACTTTTGTTAATTATAGTGAATAAAGTGGCAGGAGAAGTAATTTGTGGTTTAGTGGGACAATATTAAATGTAGCTCCTGCAGAGAAGAATAACAGAATTTAATGTAAAGTTTATAAAACGGATGATTAAATCATACACCTGAGAATTTTGAAATATTTCTCGAGACATCCTTTTTGTTCTTGAAAGTATTCTTGTGTTAATTTATATTTGTTTGAAAGCTACCGAAATATTCTTCTCTGACAAGACATCAGGTAAGCCTAGTTAAGTTTAGAGAGTAATTTAAGCAATGGCAAAATATTCTGATGCCTCAAATGTGATTCAAATCCTTATTTATTGAATATCATTGTTAAGTTTATTGTATTCAAACAAAGTAGATAAGTAACTTAACTTATTATGTATTAAAAAGTAACTATAAAACTGGACCAAGAATATTGTTACATAGCCTGACCTAAGAACATTGTAACAGGTTGGGCTAGGTCACTGAAAAACTGTTAGTTTTTGGTGTGTTTTTATGACTTATAACTGGAAGTAGTGACTACTGCAAGTGACAAAATAAAGTACTAAGAGAAATATATTAATGAATAACATTCAAGTTGAAACTGTTGAAAGTGACTGTATATATAAAATTGAACTTTGTGATCAGCAAAAAAAAATTAGAATTCTAAGACCAAAAGAATATATTTTTTTAATATTTTCTCAAAACAATTTACTTAATTCTCTGGATTTGGGTAGATAAAAGCTTGCATGCCACAACTTTAACAGTTACATTCAAAATTCATTTAAACAACTTTATTATTGATATTTGTCAATAACCTTGACATCAAAACATAGTTAATAAATCAACTCTTAATATATATTTTAATTTTTTAATTTCAAAATGTCATATTTAA